AGGAATTCACAGACAAACCTCTTTTGCATGGAAGTCAATTATTAACAGACTTCATTTAGGTGTCTTTCTAGAAAACTTTAGCCAAGTACCTAACAAATTGTTTGCAGAAGGTATCAGAACATTGATATAGTAATTGTGTTGAGTCAGCTCTAAAAGGTAAAGAGTTCAGTGAATCCACACTGATCTCATAAGGACAGGTTATCAGCTCCCAAAATTGATAAGACAGGAGATAGTACGCAGCAATTGTCAGTGGACTGTATGAGAAAATTAATACTAGCCATAAAATAAAGGAACTTACTATTTGTGAGCAGTAGAAGGCAAGCATGCTGAATATACAACCAAAGTGATAAGAGAAATGCAAATACATTATAATTGCATGTGAACATGCAGCAGATATCCAGAAGTACTTGTACAGAATATAGATAACTATTTTTAGTAGATACTGTCATTAGAGCAGAGATATTCGCTAGATTATCCTGGTTCTTAAAGGTAATTTTCCTGTATGAATATATTGTCCTGGCAGAATACAAACCTCTTAAAGTCATGAAAGCAATTCATTATCTTAAGTAGTTCCCTTTTCCCCAAAAACACCCAAGATGAACTCCAAGGCAATCACCTTACATTTTAATAAGCATGGTGTCTTTGACATCAAGCCTTCAGGCAGGACTCTGGAAGCAAGGTTCTGACTTCTACCTCATGTTTCTTCTTCCCTAGTACCACTATTGCATGAATACCCCTTGATGCTTTGAGAGTTAAATCTCAGTGAAAAACAGAGCAATTTCAACGCAGTATCTTGCTGTCAGTTACTACCCATGTCAGCTCTGTCCCTGGTTTGCTGCACAGACCAGCCTAAAAAAACCCAACATAATCCAAACAGAGCAGTGCCACTCTCCACATCCCTTGTGCCTGCTCCTCCATTAAGGAAATTCAGCTACAAAATTAATCACTCCTTCCTTTCCCAACAGGTGAATTTTCTTATGCTTTGGCAAGACAGCTCCACAAAGCAGCCAAAGAACAGGCACAGGGAAAGCTGGGGAGCACTAAGGAG